TTCGCAGAGATTACTCAGTAAATAACTTAATGGTCCTCAAATGACCTCAGTGGGGACACAATTGCTGAAGAACTGTCTTGGGTGTCAAAAAAGATGCCTCATTCTCCTTATCAGATAAGAGATAAGATAAGGCTTTATTCATCCTGAAGAAAATTGTTGTGCGAGAGTTAGAAAAATACAATAAACACAGCAGCATAATAGTAAAATTGTACGCTAACAGTCCGGTAAAAAGAGCAATTAAATACCTACATCCCCATTATTTTGCTTATTTTGTCCAAAAACGATTCCCGAGAACAAGAATGAACGCTAAGACTTTAAAGCACCAATGTGTTTTCCACTGAGTCTCACCGTTGGGGTTGTGGTTCTGCCGCCTCTGGACCCGGACCTCTGCGATGGCGCTGATGATGCTGCTGTTGGCGCTCCCCTTGCTCACCAGGTCCATGATCCTGTCTGTGATTTCCTTGACGAAGGTCAGACCTCTCCTCTGGTCCTCCGTCGACTGGAATAACCAACAGAGAAACTCCATTATGGTCTGCTTATCTGTGACACTCGAGTCTAACTAAATGCTCATGATGGTTTCCCCTAATCACAGATTCCTGCTACACAACAAGTCAAGAAAGCTTTTCCATCCCTAAGAGAACATTTTCTGGCATTTTGGATCCAGTGTTGCTGCTTTTATCTCAACATTCCTGTCTCTTTTCCACTTTAAGATGTTCCCAAAGTCTGGAATTATAATGTGATATAAAGGAAATAAGGATACATTTCAACCACAACTCATCATCTCATGACGGCTTAACATTGTTTTTGAGGGGGGTTTGTTCTGAACTTTAAAACGAATAAAAATGACTTTAAGGCCACATGTAACTCACGATGGCAACGTGGATTTCGTTGTTGGTGCTGAGCGACGGCTCGCAGGTCATGGAGACGGAAGAGGAAGAGGAAGAGGAAGAGGAGGAGGAGGAGGACAGGTTCTTCTCGACGTAGAGGCTCCTGAGCTCATGACAAACCTGCTCCACCGTCACACCCTGTACAATAGATAAATGTACTTTAATAAACACATTTTGGGAAGTTTTAGCAGCAGCAGGTTATCAATGAATTCCACAGGGTAGAAAGTACAGAGTAAATATATACAGAAACACTACAAAGATATGGAAATGGAGGAATTTATTCAACTTCTCCAACTAAAATATTACCCAAGGATACACATACTGTATAGCATAGTAAGTGAAGTACAAGTACCTCAAATGTAAACTTAATCAAAGTAAGTAATGTAGAAGTACCCCAAATGTGTACTACAGTAAACTATTTAGTTACATTCCACCACTGTTAATCAAATAAAAATACAATGTTAATACAATGTTTTAAAAGCCTGATGAATAGCACTCGTCAGTAAGAAAAGTTTGACAGAGAGGACTATGAAAAAAGGTGGAAGTAGGAAACAGGAAGTAGGAAACTGACCGTTGCCATGACGTCCTTGTTGAAGGCGAAGGTGAGGTTGGCGCAGCCGCTCTCTGAGTGACAGCTGTCAGTGGGCGGGGCCTGGTGGGCGGGGCTCCAGCACTCCCCCTGCCCCGGGCACGGCTTCACGAAGCAGCGCTCTTCCTGCAGCGCCTCGCAGGTCTGAGCCTCCGGACACTCAGAGCCTGGAGGCTGAGAGAGGAGACTGCAGGGGCGAGGGCCGCACTGAAACTGAGGGGGGGGGGGAGAGGGGTTACACTCACTGACTGTTCAATATATTTCATGTAGGGCCACACTGAAACTGAGTGGGGGGAGAGGGGATACACTCACTGACTGTTCAATATATTACATTTAGTTGAAGCTTTTATCCAAAGCAACTTGGCAACAATAATTGCAATCAACCATGATGACACAAACTAAAAATAGCAAAGGTCCTTGAAGTACAGATTTGAACAAGCAGAATACTTTTTAAGAGCAACATACAGAAATATATATTTTTTGGCCAAGGTGCAGTTGAAACAGGAGGGTCTGCTTATTTGTTTAATATTAACTATTTGGTAGGTATTTATTTTTAGCTTTTGTTCCTGTTTTAAATTTGAAGAACGGAAACGTCACACTTTTTAGATCTTTTCTACAATTATTTTACAGTTAAGATTTATTTTGCGAATAAATCTTCACATAAAATACATGAACAACTTCTTAAATACAATATTGTGTTAACAAAAGAAAATCTATAGAACAATGTGTCAAATCGTGATGTAAATACAAAATGTTTTTAAGAATTACAGTATAGTATCATAAACCATCAGAATGATGTCAAACAGCAGGTGTACCTTGGTGCAGGTGGTCCTCCCGTTGTGGCAGCTGCAGATGTTGCAGTCGTCGTCCCACCGGCTGCCGTCCAGAGCCAGCTGCGCCCCCCCCACCACACAGGGCCGCCCCGACGCTGCAGCACAAACACACCATTAATATATACTCAGAGTGATCAACAACAACAATTCAGTGCACGGATATCCTGAGAACTCGGCCATTTCACTGAACATAATATGATTGTATTGATTACGTCTGGTGAATTGGCTTAACAGATATCCGATAGGTAGATTTTCTTAAATGGAAAGTGATGTTAGGCTCTTGGTAAACACAGTATATTGGCTGCTGTAAACTATCTGCATATACATTTTATTGTTCTCTTTTATCCTCTCGCCTCCATCTACTTGTCTTTCATCCTTTCTTTATGCTGTTGATGTATTGTGATTTTAAAAAGGTGTCTTTATCATCTGGCCGGTGACAACAGCTTGAAATTAGCAATGTTGGCTAAAGCTGCTCCATTTACTGTTTTGTGTGACAGTTGGTCAATGGGGAACATCATGTCTAAGACCTGTTGTAACAGGATACAAACTGTATAAAGTTCACTGTCTGCAGGTTTTACCTTCTTGGCAGCGGGGGCCAGTTCTTCCTGGAGGACAGATGCAGCGGAAAGCGTTGATTTCATCCACACATGTGGAGCCGAAGGAGCAGGGCGACGACTGGCACTCATTGATGTCTGAAAAGAGACGAGTGACACTTAGTATTTGTGTCAACTGAAATCAATACAAATGTTGTTTCTCTGTCTTTTGTAACACAGCGAGGCTGAGAACTTCACAAAGCTATCAGAGAGGAAAGTCTCTGAAGATGAAAAGATCCAACAAAACTACAGCATGAAAGAAATCAACAACAGTGTGTGTCTGATTATTATATTTTATTGTTGAATAAGCTGAATGAAGAGATGGAGGAAAGGTCAAAGGTCAACTCACTGATTCTGCAGTCTGGACCGGCGAAACCCGGGGAACATTCACATCGATACCAGTTGTCTCCATCCACACAGGTCCCACTGTTGTAGCTGCAGCACAGAGAGGATGATCAGATACACTGTGTGCAATAACAAGACTTTGATCCCAAAAATAAATCATCTGTAGCGTGTACTCTCTGAAATCCTCACAGTTTCTGCCAACAAAAACTAAACTACAAGTCAATAACCCTGACTTGACTGAGCTGGAGCCCTCGTACCAATAATATATCATTATTTATTTCTTTAGATAAGAGCAATTTGCGACACTGTGTCTTGGAGAGAAAATAATCACTGAGTAAATAAAAACTCTTGCTGGCATTGAGATGTATTTTTTCAGATTTTATTTAATTTAATTGAAGAAGGATAATTATTTTACAAAACAAAAGCAGATATAAACATTAGACCCTGACCGGTTCACTTAGCTATGCCTTAAATAAATGGTTTATTTAGTGTGTATCTACTTCTCTCTCTGTCTGTCTGTCTGTCTGTCTGTCTGTCTGTCTGTCTGTGTGTGTGTGTGTGAACTCACCAGGGATGAGGACTGCAGTCGTTGGCGTCTGGAAAATAAAGACAGCAAATTTCGCGTTAGACATCTATCATACTGTTCGTCGCTAAAATATTAGCACACTATGCGTTGACATTCTAAAAGTGAATTACAGCATAGAACCAAATATGCATTTAAACACTAATCGCTGTCCAAATATTTAGTGGTTTTCTTAGTGTATCTTCTACACATAGGGCATTTTAAAATGTATGAAATAAGCATGTTAACAAACTACCCTTGCTACATGCTAAATGCTATGCAACAATGTTAACATCTATTCTAAATTATTTGTATTTACTTGCATTATTTTATCTTTTTTATTGGGTTGCACTGTTGGACCTAAGATTTTCATTGACATAAGTACACTGTAGCTATGTACAAATGACAATAAAAGCCTTGAATCTTGAATCTTGAAATGTGGCTAGGACATGCTAAACGTGAGCGCATTAGCGTCGTTTTATTGAACAAAGGTGCTTCACATTTTTAACACTGCATCTCCTGTCACAACTGATGAATAAATGTCTTGGGACAGATGGTGTACCTTTAAAATGTTAAATTAATAATGCAGATGGGACTGGTTTCTGCGTATAGAATATATAATGCGTTTTCATACTAAAAGTGACTTACAGCATAGCACCAAATATGCATTTAACCACTAACAAGTGTCGCTGTCCGAATATTTAGTGGTTTCTTAGTGTATCTTCTACACAAAGGCCATTTCAAAATGTATAAAATAAGCATGTTAACAAACTACCCTTGCTACATGCTAAATGCTATGCAACAATGTTAACATCTATTCTAAATTATTTGTATTTACTTGCACTTTAGTTAAGAAATTAACATTTGTTACATGCTAAATGTGGCTAGGACTTGCTAAACGTGAGTGCATTAGCGTAGTTTTATTGGACAAAAGTGTACGATGTCAATACAAGATAATGCATCTCCTGTCGCAACTGATGAATACATGTCTTGGGACAGATGGTGTACCTAATTGAAATGTTAAATTAATAGTGCAGATTGGACGGGTTGATGCGTAATGTGTGAACATGCGGGTGCAGTGACTCACTCTGGCTGCAGGTGGCGCCCTCCCAGCCTTCCTTGCAGACGCAGCTGAACGAGTCTCCGTCCACCACGCAGGTTCCTCCGTTCTCACAGGGACTCGACACACAGCTGCTGTTCTTCGCTGGAGACACAATCACAATCAAGTTTATTGCCAGGTACGTTTACACATACAAGGAATTTGCTTTGGTATCTGATGGTGCGAACATAAACAATGGAAAAAAATAAGTTGCAATTTAGCCTTCAGAAAGGATGCTAAAGACAAGTATTTTACACCAAATGTAACTAACTATAAAAATAACCCTAAAAGCTAAACAATAAAAAACACTTAGGACAATTAGTATATATGGCAAACTACAGTGTATTATATTTTAAAAGGTCTCCTATTCTACTGTTTGTCATCAATAGGTCCAGATTTATACTAAACATGTCTCTGAAGTGTTGAAACACCAAACAGATCATTGCAGCATTACCCATAATCCCCTCTGTTTCAGCCCTGTTTCCAAAGTGCTGATTCTCTGTCTGTTACTTTAGATGAAAATAAGGAGCCCCTTGCACGCCCCTCCCAGAGATATTTGGTTAAAGAGAACTCAATGGTGCTCTAGGAGGAGATTCAGGTGATAAGGTGGGNAATTAAGAATTTGTAATAAAAGAAAACATAGAAATACATATCGTATACAAGCATAATAACTTAAAGGGGACCTATCATGCAAAATGCACTTTTGTACGTCTTTTATACATGAACATGTGTCCCTGGTGTGTCAGCAGGGAACTCACCAAGTCTCAGAAAACACAACCCTCTCTCGTTTCCTCCATACCCAAATCTCTAAAAACGGGGCTGCAACGGAGCTGATTATTATTTTTGAATGTTTCTGATGTCAGAAAAGGGGTGCTCCGCCTATATGGGCAACTCTCCACCTATCAGGGGAATGAGAGACCGCTCGAAAGCGCTGGAGACGCTGTAGTACATATGCCAGACCTGTAGGTGGCGCTGTAGTCTACCACAAAAGCAGAATCAGCCCCCTGCAAAAACAGGGCTGGAAAAGAGCAAATAGAGCGAAATGAGGTATGGCTAAAATGCATGATCTGTTTGGTATTTTGAAAAAAAACTTACCCAGACATGTTTNTAAACTTTTTTTAAAGGTCACCTATTATGCAAAATCCTCTTCTTCATGTCTCTTCTACATCAACTTTTGTTCCTGAAACTTTCAGAGTCTCTTTCCACAGAGTTGATGTAGAAGAGACATGAAGAAGAGGATTTTGCATAATAGGTGACCTTTAAAAAAAGTTTAAATCATGACGTCATGCTCACCGATACTACAGGTCGCGCCCTCCCAGCCGGCAGCACACTGACACTTGAAGGCGTCTCCTTCATCGTAGCAGGTTCCTCCGTGGTTACACGTCTCCTCGTCACACTGACTCACTCCTGGAAATGAAAAACGACATCAGTTAGTCACAGAAAGGGACTGAAAATATATATAATCTGAAAAGTAACCTTAGCGGTCAGACAAATGGGATGTTTTGGATTTCAGATGTAGTAGAGTGGAAGTATAAAAAGGTGCATGAAATAAAAAAAACTATGATCAAACAATGGGTTAAAACTATTTTGGAAATGGATCACTTGAACTGTAGTGCAATGTATTTTTTACTTGTATAGAATAGAATATATCTGTATTGTCATCATACAAAGTATAACGACATTTCTTTTCGCAACTCTCACTGCAGTAAAAAATAGACACAAATAAATAAATAATTAAGAGTTTAGTGTACTGTATGTTTGTACTATTTTTTTACTTGTAACATTTTTGTTCCACCAATGGAACTTGAACCCCAAATCGCTTTGGATGATAAGGCCAGCAACTTGTTTAAATTGGAGTGAAATTGTAAAGCAATTTGGATAAATGTGCTATCTACTGTAAATGCAGCCTATTGCCATTTTGTGTCCAAATAAGTGAAACCTGAAGCCAGAAAGTGATGAGAAAACACATAAACCCTCACGTGAGTGACAGGTCTTCCCCTTCCAGCCGTTGTTACACTGGCAGAAGAAATCGTTGACCAGATCTCGACAGACGCCGCGGTTCTGACACGGAGCCGAGCTGCAGTCGTCGATATCTGAAGTACAAGAAAAGAAAACATGAGAGCACGTCCAACATGTCCGCTGCACGGCAGAGATGGCAAAAGCACACAGATCCTTGGAAGTACAGATACTTGTGTTTAAAAATACTCTGGTGAAAGTAGAAGTACTGACTAAACTTCTTTACTCAAGTAAAAGCAAAGAAGTATGAGCTTTGAAATGTACTTCAGTAAAAAGTACCCATAACTAGCAGCTGTTTTAAAGAGTACCTGACCTCCCTTTATATTAATAGAACAATAATGTCATTGTTAGCTAATGAATGTTTCCATGCTGAACAACGGCAACATGACAACGTTTTCATTGGTCCCTCTTCTTTAGAGAAGAGCAGGAAATGATGGATACACGGATCGTGTTCAAATCAATAGGCACGCAATGACTCTAAATAATAATGATCACGCCACCAAACACACATTCAAACTGAAGGAACCAACCTGTTTGGAAAATGTAAGAAGTAGAAAGTTCAGGTATTTGGGTTAGAAATGTAAGAAGTAGAAAGTACAGGTATTTGGGTTAGAAATGTAAGAAGTCAAAGTAAAAACTCGTCAGAAAAATAAGTAGTGTTGTAAAGTACTGATACCAGAAAAATGTACCTAAGTACAGTAATGAAGTATTTGTACTCCACTACTTCCCACCTCTACTGCACAGTGTGTGTCCACCTGCTATGTTGAGGAGGAAGAGAAGGAGGAGGAAGAGGATGAAGAAGAGGAGGAAGAGGAGGACTCACTGTTGTGGCAGGTGGGTCCGTCCCAGCCGTCTGCACAGATGCAGAGATACTGACTGACTTTATCGATGCAGGTCCCTCCGTTCAGACAGGGGGCCAGCTCACAGTCATTGATATCTGACACACAGAGAAGGACACATTACATTATTATTATTATCATCATCATCATTAATTTAGATAAAGCCCTGAAGTTAAATTAAGCTCTTCAATGGGAACAAATCAATTATAATAAAGTGTATTATGGAAAGTTGCAGTTTTTTTAATGAATGTTATCTATTGGTCTTCTTCAGAACATGATGAGTATGAATGGACTCACTCTCGTGGCAGTACGTCCCGGTGAACCCCTCCTCACACGTGCAGCTGAACTGTCCGCCGGCGTGACTCCGACAGCGACCGTGGGGCCCGCACACGTTGGACGAAATCAAACGCACCCCGCCCGGCGTGCTGTTGGACGCCACGGCAACCGTGCAGCTGTCAATCACTGAGGGAGATGAGGAGGAGATATTAGTTTTTAACGTGCCGTCTTAACCTATAATAATATATCATCCTTTAAAGTAAATGAAAGAGTACAAATATAGTGTAGTACGTCATTAAAAGTATTTATAATTATGTATACAATTAGTAAGTATTAAAAGTGTAGTATGTCATTAATGTAAAAAAAACTTATATTATAGCATTTAATAATATATCATAGTTTATTAGTTATAATTATATTTTGTATTCATAATATGCGGATTAAAATAAAGTGTAAATAAAGTATTAATTAGTATGAATACAATTAGTAAGTAATAAAAGTGTGTATGTCATTCATGTAAAACAAACTAATGTAAAATAAACTTTATATTATAGCATTACTTAAAATGATTTAATTGAATCTAGTGCCATAAAACAGTATTAGTGTAATATGTCATCAAAAATTATATAAATTCAATTTGCACGTTTGTTGCAAAAGATCATTAAAAGGCATCCCCCAAAAATATCATACTATAGTATAATAGCAGTGGTCAATATTAACATTTTAAGTATTTCATTAGTTGACTTGTAGCAGAAATAAAAAATACTCAGGTAAAATGAAGTTCCTCAAAATTGTACTTATTGCAGTACTTGAGTAAATGTACTTAGTGTCCGCTGTTAGCAGTCACACAGGACATGGATAATAAGTAAAGTGTCTACCTTTGCAGGGCGTGGTGCGGCAGTGGTCCTTCAGCCGCGAGCAGTTCTTCCCCTCGAAGTCTTCGGGACATTCACAGACGTACTCGCTCTCCAGGTTGAAACACTCGCCGCCGTTTTGACACGGACTGTGGAGGCAGTAATCGATATCCAACTGTTGAGAGAGGACGATTCAGAAAGGTGAAAAACGACACTCAGCGTTTTACCGTTTCCATGACGGCTGCACAATACACACATCTATGGAGACCTCATACAGAACGACAACAAACCACTTACAGTATATAACACTTCAAATAATAACAATAACGATGAATACATTCTGATCATTTTATCGACAGAATAATATAAAAACCTTTCTGATTCCTTTTTTATGACATATTTGACTAAAGCATTTTAATGACTTCTTGAATGGCAAACTAAAGTATGTTTTTTTTAATACAAGAAGAACTTAATTTAACTTGCAACAGGAAACATTACATTGTTTTATTAAACTTTGATGGCATACTTTGGCATGGCTTTCTTAAGACTTTCCTTATACTATTAAAAACGACATGACTTCACTTTCTCTTATAAACTACCCAATGACTTTTCAATTACAATCTGACTTTTATGGCAAATTTCATTTTTCTTTTTCATAAACAATTGAGTTATACTTGTCACGTTGACAGAGACAGGTGATATGATTTCACTGTCTGTGCAAAAACTTAATTATATGCATTCAATTTCATTTATTTTTGTTTGTGATTCCAACATTTTTAAGATTTGAAAATTCATTTCTTTCCCAGTTTAAATTAATGAGCTCTCAACTAAGCAGGTTGTAAAGTTGTATGTATATTAATTGTATCTTTAAATAGTTTATGATATGGATGCTAGTCAAAATCAGAACAGAAGTTACAAAAGAGGAAGAATAATGATCAACCCTTTGTCTGAAAAATATTTATGGCAAACTCCCTGTATCTTAGCAACAGCTCACCTGACAGCGACTCCCAGAGGAACCGGGTGGACAGAGGCAGTGGAAGCCGTTAACTTCGTCATGGCAACGGCCGCCTTTGAGACACGGTTCGCTGGCGCACTCGTCCACGTCCGTCTCACAACGTTCACCCCCGAAACCCGGAGCGCACACACACTGAAACCCGTTCACCAGGTCCTGGCAGAGAGAGAAAGTTCTGTTAGTATTTATAAATTAATATTAACATTTCCCAGTTACAGTTACGTGAGAGCAATTTTAATGTCGTTGCTTCTCCTGACAGGCATGTAGAGGAAATACCAGAATACAGGCTGTAGTGAAATATGTATAGAACAAACATTTAAAAGAAGAAGCAGCCTTAAGATATAAGATATCAGGATCTAATCGCCAAAGACTTTTAACATTTATCAAATGGCGCCTGTGTCAATAAATATTCTTTAGTACCTTAAATACTGTAGCAGTAAAAACACTAGTAAGAAGGTACAATTAGAGATTCAAGTGCATATTTGAGCATGCATGAAGTCGTCCTAATAGATGGATTTTCTTCCTGCCAGGCAACCACTGATTTGAGGTCATTGTGATAAATATCAGCTTGCGAGAAATTCATCACAGTCAACATCCAGTTACCAGTTTGAATCCAACCGTATCTTTAATGCGTGATTCAACAAATAACAACTTATTTATTTAGCCTTTAGCTACACACAAAAAATAAGCAGCAATCATAAGAAAGTCAGGAGGAGCACTTCTTTAAATAAATGAGTCTTAAAATGCTAATACAGCGCACAGACATTGTGGTTTGTACTTTTGATTTAGCCATACCATCTTAATAAAAAAAAAAATGCTTTCCCTCTGAGCCACTGAACCATAAATCAAACAGATCGGTGTGTGAGGAACAGGAACACTGACAGATAAAGCTGCAGAGGAAATATAATCGGCCTCCTATCAGTAAACAATAAACCATTGTGAGAGGAAGAATGGCAGAAAAAAAAGAACAATCAGCGTTTCAAAAGAACGAGGACACGGTGTTTATCTTCCGCTGGGAAATTAGAAAGTTTGGAGAAATTCGATCTGCTGTTGTCATGGACACACACGTACACACACATACACACGTCTCTGTCCTACATGCATGACTCAGCATTTAATGTCTACAGCGCTGGTGAAGACAGTGTGTGTGTGTGTGTGTGTGTGTGTGTGTGTGTGTGTGTGTGTGTGTGTGTGTGTGTGTGTGTGTGTGTGTGTGTGTGTGTGTGTATATATACTAGTATATGTAT